AGGCCATTTGTACATAATTAACCAAAGTCCTTTCCAAGTTGCCAACATTGTTCTTGAGCTTTCGTTCCCGTTCCTTCATAGCATGTCCTGATGTCTGAGCCCTATCAAATGGCCAAAGGACTAGAGCTTCACTCAGATCAACATGTCATTCATTAGCTTTGCTGGTTACTCGTTCAGAGGCATGTGTGAGCCTGCACCATCTGTGCCTGCCCGGCTCCAAACCCAGCTTCCACCAAAAATCTCATCTTCTCCAGTAGCATCAGCCAACTGTCAGCCTGGCCCTCATCACTGGTATGTAAAATGGCATTAGAAAATCTTGTGTATGGAGTCAGGAAATGAGGAGTTATTTATTTTCCCTGAAGACAGTTTGTTCTTCTGATAAACGACAGTTTTGTTTTACTTTATTTTATTAATGCCAATAGTGGATTGTGCTTTCTCATGATTAAGCTGCTTTTTCTCCCCCTGTCTTCAGACTTTGGTTATAAATAGGAGCTTCTTTGTTCTGTCTCCGCTGGGCAATAATTGCAAACATAAACTGGGGAGACACTCTCATGTCTTTCGGCGTCTCCTGGTTGTTTCTCCACGAGTAGGCAGTCGCACAAACAAACAGGCCACTTTGTTTGTGTTTTCTCTGAAGTCACATTTATTCCACTAAATGTTTATGCATTCCAGCATCTTGAGAATTTCAGGACCAAGATTTATGGTTTTTTAAAATTCATTTTGAACATGTGCATTTAATGTGCTTCGTTAATTGGAGTAATTAGTAATCTTTTCATTCCAAGAGGGTTACTGGAATTAAAACAGGACTGTTATTTTTTTCTAACGGGTCTAACTGAAGAATTTTTATTTTCAAAGTGAATCCTGACTGATAGACATGAAGTTCTGTATTGCAGCAGAGGAGGAAGTGACAAGGGTTCGGAAAATCTGAATATCCAAGCCTCTTTAGTCCCTTCAGGTTTCATCTGTCTATAATCACAGTAGCTAACCAATCAGTTGTCATTTGGTTGACTGTGACTCATGGTGACACTATATGTGTCACAGCAGAACTGTGCCCCATCAGGGTTTTCAATGGCTGATTGTTCAGAAGTAGATCACCAGGCTTTTCTTTTAAGGCACCCCTCGGTAGACACAAACCACCAATCTTTTTGTTAACAGCCAAGTTCATTAATTGTTTGTACCACCCTGGGACTTCCAATCACAAAACCAAGGGTAAGAAAATTTATCACCCAAACAAGGGCACTTTTGAGAATAAAGTGGGGGCCCTTTACTATTGCACCAGGACAATAGTCTTGAACTGGTACTGCTCCAGGAGCACCAAGAGCATGGTCCCCCTTCCAATATCTTGGAGACTCTGGGCACCACTGGTTTACCAATACCTTCTATTTGTACAAGGTCCCTGGGTGGCAGGGACAAGCAGTGTGTGCTTGGCTACTAACTTAAAGGTTGGCAATTGGAACCTACCCATTGGCATCATGGGAGAAAGCCCTGTGATCTGCTTGTGTAAAGATTACAGCCAGGAAAACCCTATGGAACAGCTCTACTCTATAATATATGGGACACCATGAGTCAGAATCGCCCCTACGGCGATGGATATGGTTTTGCTTGGGGGTGGGGAAGCTTGTCTGTATGGTTCATCTGCTCTTCACTCTCAGTCAGTCCCATTTAACTGAGGCTGAAAAGCTAAGCCACTTGCTCTGACCTCCAAGGCAGGATAAACCATGCTGAACCCCAGCTGTTCTTCAGAGCTTCATTCTTTGTCCACCACAATCCTTCTGGTCAGCCAGGAATGGCCACGGGGGTGGGTTGGCAGTGTATGAGCATGTGTGGCAGAATTAGAAGATGGATAGATGGATGGGAACTGAATTATGGGAGCTAGAGAATAAGAGAGTATTAGAGAATTAGGAGCATTGGAGAATGCCCTGGCTAGGAAGGCTCAAAGACAGTGATTTGGGTTTCTAAGAGTCTAAGCTTCTCTAGAAGCCCCAAAGATGCCTTGGTGTTCTGGTCCAGTTTCCTGCCCCTTAGCCATGGATATGGCTTGCCTGAGCTCCAGGGGTCCTGTGTAGCCAAGCAAGCTCTAATCGTAAAGGCACTAGCTGCTGTGACAGACTTTTTCAGAAGTTAACTTTTGACAAATGCCCGGACTGAAATGTCTGGCCATAATGCAGCCGTGAACTGTGGGCTGTCATGCTTACATCTGTGACTCATCCTTTAGGCAGTATTGATTCTCTCATTTCTACCTGCCGCTTCTCTCTACCTCCCAGCTCTTCTGCTCTCCTCAGCTTTCCTGCTTGGTGAAGGCCAATGTACTCTGTTCTGCTTAACTAATTCCCTCTGATACGGGCATTTCTATCTTTACAATTTGGCATCCCTGTGAAGTTCCCCTTTGTACATTTTCCTGTTCCTGTATTCCCATTATTCGAGTATCATCACTCAATAACCATTTGGCAGTAGTAATGCTTTTCACATGGAAAGAATTGACTTTTTATTGATGGCAAATGTTGTGATGAACTTTCATGCCCACATGGAGCCAAGAGGAGCTTTTTATTGGGTGAGCTCCACTAAGATCTGGTTCCAAGAAATGTCTTTGGAGTGTGGACTGAGATGTACTTTTGGGAACAGGTCCTGTGGTGGGGGTGTGGGGGTTGAAGTGGGGAGAGCCTTTCCCTGGACTCACAATATCAAAATCTCATCAATCACAATGTATAATAGCAACATTATTAATAACCTTATAGATGCATAGCACTTGGTACTTTTCCAAGCACTTTCTTTGAATCCTGACATGAAGGCAGGGCAGATATTATTATTTCCATGTTACAAGTTAAGCCACATTGTAACAGGACTAAGTAACCCCATGAGCAAGGAGTCAGTAGATAATTCTGTAAGTATCCCGTAAGAAAGAGATTTTAGCAGGTCTGAAAAGCCTTCTATAGAGATTACAGATGGTCTTGAAGAAAAGGAGTCCTTCTAAGGCTAAACTCTTTTCAAGGCCCCCCTTTTCCCAGTCCAAGTATAGTAGCAGGATCACCATGCCCAGGCATCATGCTCATTTCAACTGCCTGCATGCAATAAAATTAAGTATCCTGGTATCTAATCCAGATTTGTGAGAATATAGGGATTATTTAGCAATGCATGCCATTGGCATACAGTGTGGCAGACAGACTGTGAATGTCATGTACCAACTGTCTCAGACTAGACTTCAAACAATATGGCATAAAGACAGGAGCCATTCTCCATTGGATTTAACAAGAGAATGGCCAACACTGGGTGATGGAGATGGTGATACTAGTGTACCCCATTTACATTAGCTAGGAGCTCTGGTAGCATGGTGCCTAAGGCACCTGACTGTTAACCAGAAGGCTGGCGGTTCAAACCCACCAGCCACTCCTTGGAAGGAAGGTTGGGCAACCCACTTCTGTAGTGATACCACCTCAGAAACCCAAAGAGGGGTCGCTATGAGTCAGGGCTGACTCAACGGCACATAACAACAACAACAGTTTGGCTGGTTTGGATCCTAGCCCATCCCTGCACTCCTCAGATGCTAGCCTTGGTACCTGATTTAGTTAAAAAAAAAAAAAAGAGAGAGAGAGAGAATTAGGAGTATAGACAGGAATTTGGAAACCAATTTTTGCTACCACCATCACGATTTTGTTAATAAGGAAACTAAAGCCTCAAGACTGGTAGATGGACTTGCCCTCACAGCAAGGTTAGTCAGATCAGAGCAGTATTAAGAATCCAGTACCCTAATGATCAGAATTCCCAGGTATATAGTAGAGCTGACAAGGGGCAAGATTGTGGTCACTGCTTGGTCACAGCCAGCTACCCAGAGGGACCGAGTAGTTGAACCTGCAGGCTTGGGACCATAGTCGCAGGGGACATCAAGCTCAATTGGCATAACATACTATACAAAACATTGTTCCACCTCCTACTTTGGCGAGTAGCGACTGGGATCTTAAAAGCTAGCAAGCTGCCATCTAGTGCAACAATGGGTCTCTCCTCGTACAGAGCAAAGAAGAATGAAGAAAACCAAAATTCATGGAAACAATTAGTCCTAGTGACTGGTACACCATCTGATCTGCAGCCTATACAACTATGGGACCAGAAGAACTAGATGGTGCCTGGCTACCACTGCCATCCACTTGGAAGAGGATCTATGTAGGAGACCCTTGATAGAGAGGGAGAACAATGTGGAACAAAACTCAAAATCATTTGGAGGAAAAAAAAACGGTGGGGACCAAGTTTGCTGGTCTGATAGAGTCTGGTGGAACCACTGAGACTATGGCCCCTAGCTGCCCTTCAGGTCTGGAATTGAACCCACACCTGTGGTTTCCAGCCAAACAAAAGACAGGCATATGAGTTGAACATTTACCTCAAGTAGATACATTCTTTGGAGAGAACAATCATGGAAGAAAGAAGGGCTGTTTATGCACAGGAAGACAGCTCAGGGGGCAGGAGTGTATGGAGGGATGGACACTGGGAAGAGGTAACTATGGGGAGGAAGTGGGAGGGGAGCTGCTGCATTGTGGTAAACTGTGGTCAATGATATGAGACAAAGTATATGTGAACTGCTGTATGGAAAGTGAATTTGCTCTGTAAATATTCACCCAAATCACAATAAATAAATTAAAAGAATCCAGTCCCCTGATAAAGAATGTGACTCCCTTTACTCAGTCTCCCATGTTGAATCAGATTTTCTAACTCACCGGAACTTCTCTTCTTCCTCTAACATGCTAGTTGTTAACTGCTGCCAAGTCTGTTTCTGACTCATAACGACCCCAAGCACAATGGAACAAAGTGCTACTCAGCCCTGCACCTCATCCATGATCGGTTGCTGACTGGATTGGTGTGATCCAGAGAGCTTTCATGGGCTGCTTTTTGGAAGTAGATTCCCAATCCTTTCTTCCCAGATCATCTTAGTCTGGAAACTCTGCTGAAGCCTATTCAGCATCATAGCAACATGCAAACCTCCACTGGCAGATGGCTGGTGGCTACATATAAAGTGCACTGGCTGGGAATTGAACCCAAATCTTCTGCACAAAAGGCAAGAATTCTACCACTGAACCACCACTGCCCTCTTAACACATTCACTTTCTCCACAGCTTTTACTTAAAGATTCAACAGTCTATCTGAGGTAAAAAGAGGATCTTTTTCTATTCATTTGGCTTCTCCGTGCTCCCTGCCACCACCACTGCATGTTGCATAGTGCAGCAAGTGTCCATACCCTTCATTAAGAGGGAGTACCTAGCCTCAGGGCACAGCTCCATGAGTAGTAGATTGCATAAGGATCCCTCAGAGGCTGGTGAGAACCAGCAGGATGTAACTTAAGAGAGGAGGTGTACACCTGGCATGCCATGAGGGGTTCACCACAAGATGTGTCCTGATGGCTCAGCCTCAAGTTTGCCCAGGGTCCAGCTTACCCAGGAATGTGTTGGGAGGAAAAGGTGTTTTTGTTTCTAGGCCACCTGCTTCCATTATTCATCGATGTCCCTCACCAGGTCCACAGCCTTATTGCTTGTGTTACTAATTGGCTCATAATGTTGCACTCAGACTCTTTGGAGCTCAGATATTTTGTAATTTCAGATCTAACTCTCCCTGGCTCCTATTTCAAGAGATGTTTTCCTGTCTATTCTTTTTGGCTTTCTCTAGTTCTTTATCTGCTTTTTATGTTTTTATTAACTAATGAGATGCTATATTTCATTCAAAGCCAAAGCTGTTCTTCTATCCATTCAATTTCATTTAAAAAATATTTACTGGAGAGAAGGCCTAAGCCATGATTAGTTTCTACAGACTAAGACTGTAGACGATTCCATCCAGTGGATCTATAGCTAACTAACCATGCTATATACAGAGTTCTTAATTTATGTTTTGCTTGGCCAACAAAGCAACTCACTGGGAGCTAAGACTGCTGCATGGTTCCTGATACATCATAGCTTCAGTCAATGTTAACTGAATTTAGTTAAATGAAATTATTTAACTTCTCCTAGACCAAAAAGACAATAGAAAAACTATTGGTCTTGTGATAAAATTTTAGCTCTACTACTTCCTAGCTGTGTGACCTTGAGCAAGTGATTAACCACCTAGCCTCAGTTTCCTTGAATGTGATTTGAGACTAACATCTACTTCATGGTGTTACTATGAATATTATACAAAATTACACATGCAAAAAGCACCTGGCACAATGCCTGGTATCAGTACCTGCTCCATAAGATTTAGTTCTTCTAGTAAAAGTAGTTTACTATTCTACTTTGAGTAGCACTAGACCAGTGGCGGGTTCTCAGAGTTTTCATAGCAAAATTGACATTGATGCAACCTCTAGAATTTCACTTTAATTGTATTTTTATAGAAACATGGGACTCAGATTGATTTTTTTTTTTTTTTAATTAAAAAAAGCGATGATCCTTCACTACAGACAGCTTGAGAAGCACAGAAATGTAGCAGCTGCAGAGTCTCAGGTCTTAATCCTCAGACATCTCTTCTCTTCAGATCAAATTCAGATCCTCAGATCTTTAAATTCAGATCATGGAGGACTAGCCAGCTTTTAAGGACTTGGGATTTTTTTCAGAGGTGGTGGTGGTTGGAGGACATGAACTATGTTAGGTTTTATTAATTAGTATTATTTTTAATCTAATTTTTTATTTTGAACATTTTCAAACCTTTGGAAAAAGTTGAAGGAATTCTACAATAAACACTCTTCGCCTAGATTATTCACTAATTATGAATCTTTTACATTTATTAAAAAGAAAAATGGATATATTTTCTTAACCATATTAAAGTAAATTGCAGACATCATAGCACTTCATGCCTGTATACTTCATCATACATATTCAAAATACCATTATCACATGCAGGAAACTAAACTTTGATAAAATAATATCTACTATTATTTAAATATTAAAATATATTAATACAGAAAAGGTTTATTAAATGTTGTTGTTGTTATGTGCCGTCAAGTTGGAACCGACTCATAGTGACCCCTCCTTGGGTTTCTGAGATGGTATCACTATAGAAGTAGATTGCCCCATCTTCCTTCCCAGGAGTGGCTGGTGGGTTTGAACCACCAGCCTTCTGGTTAGCAGTCAAGCGCCTTAGGCACTATGCTACCAGAACTCTCATATTAAATGTACTAAATGGTAATATATTAAATTTTAAAAATTGTTTCAATGATATTCTTTATAGCTGGTTTTTAAAAAAACAAATTCTAGGATCAATCAAGAATCATATATTGCATTAGCTATCATACTTCTTTAGTCTCTTTCAATCTAGAATAGTCCTCCGCTTTTCATTGTCTGTCATGACACTGACATTCTTTTAAGATTTCAGGGCAGTTATTGTGTAGAATGTCTCATATCCTTTATTTGCCTGATTTTGTTCTCGTTATTAAATTTAAGTAGAATACTTTGGGCAGAAATATTTCTAGGTGATGTTGTGTCCTTCCCATTTCATCACATCAGGAGGTACGTAAGGTCAGTTTGTCCCATACGTTAGACAATTTGGTTACAGTGGGGCAGCCATATTTCTCCATTTTCAAAGGTGCCTTTTCCCTTAAGTAATCTGTGGTGTGATGCTTTGTGTGAGTATCCTGTTTCTCAAGAAATTTTCACACAGTGATTTTAGGATTCATTGATGGTTCTTACCTGAATCAGTTATTACATTGGTGGTTGTAAAGGTGATATCTGATTTTATAATATCTTCCAGAATTACTAGCTGGCATACTCCTATGAAGATGAACCCCTGACCTCTCCCCGCTATGTTTAACACTATGGACTCATGTATTCTTTTCTCAGTATAGGCTTACCTTGGAGATGTTGCAGGTTTGGTTCCAGACCACTGCAATAAAACAAGTATCATAATAAAGCGAGTCATGAATATTTTGGTTTTCCAGTGCATGAAAAGTTATGTTCACACCTATACTGTAGCCATAATGCAAGAGCATTATGAAAAAGTTGGAAATATTGTAAGAATTACAAAACGTGACATGGAGCCCTGAAGTGAGCACAGACTGCTGGAAAAATGGTGCTGATAGAGAGTTGCTTGACACAGAGTTGCCATAAGTTTGGCAGAAAATTTTGTAGGAAACACAGTATCTGAGAAGCGCCACTCCTTGGAAGGAAGGTTGGGCAATCTACTTCCGTAGTGATACTGCCTCGGAAACCCAAGGAGGGGTTGCTATGAATCGGGTTCGACTCCACGGCACATAACAACAACCACGACAAGAAGTGCAGTAAAACGAGATATGCCTGTATGACCAAATTTTGTCCAGTGGAAGTCCCTTCAAGTCAATGCTTGTGTTCTTTTGACTAATTCCCATCAGTCTTTGAGCATTTTTAAATTTTGTGGCACAATAACATATTCTAGACTGACCTAAGCTCCAGGCTTGGAATAGATGGATCCTTTAGTAAGGAATTTAGAGAGCAACAACTGGGCACTAGGTGTGCTCATTGCTTTTGATGCATTGCTGCTTCTAAGCCTGTTTAGGTTTTAAAAGGATCTCTCTTGGTGCTGTGTAAGGAGGGCAGGCATGGGAACAGGAAGACTGGATAGGGGGCTAATGCAGTTCTTCAGAGAAATAAAGACTTCAGCTTAGACAAGGGTAGAGCAGTGGAGTTCATGAGAAGTGGATGGATTCAGATGTATTTTAAAGTGGGGCCATTAGATTAGATGAATTTTGGAAAAGAAATATTGATATTATGTCCAGAATCTAGAACAGTGTATGGCATGTATTTTTAATTAAGTAAATAAATTATTATTTGCATATTAATTTGCAATATCTTATACCTGACTAGGTGCTGTCAGTTGCCTTTCCATGTATATGTATCCCCCTTCTCACCTAGTTCTGGTAAACTTCTTTTGATTTAATAATTTTCCCTAATGATAATTTCAGGCTTTGTGTACACAAATTCTCCCCTACGGAGAGTGCACAGTAAGAGAACTTATTTTAAAATCCTGGCTCTACCATTTACTATTTATAGAAGCTTGGCTAAGTTACTTAACCTCTCTCACTGAACCTTGTTCTATATCTCTATCATTACCTACCCCATAAGGCTATGCAAGGCCAGCATATTAAATAAGGTCAAGCATGTGAATGCAGTTTGTAAACTGTGTTGCAGTACGTGTGTCGTCTAGTCAGCAGAGTAGAAGTGCCCCAGAGGGTTTCCTAGCCTGTAATCTTTACGGAAGCAGATTGCCAGGTCTTTTCTTCATGGAGCAGCCGGTGGTTTCAAACTGCCAACCTTTCAGGTAGCAGCCAAGCATTTAACCATTGCACCACCACAGCTCCTTTGTAAAATATGAAGTACTAGAAAGCTATAGTATATTTCTACTTTTTAGAATAATTTGGAGAAAACAAATACCTCAAGTACCATTAAAAGTACTAATAATACGAGCAATATTACTAGTTTTAAAAAATGAGATTTTTCCTACATTTATTCTCATGCTAATTCAGTAGCAATGTCCAAGAGAATTTCCTGCAATGAAGGCAATATTCTGTACCTACACCATCTAATAAAGCAGGCATTAGTCATGTGTGGCTTGTTGAACACTTGAAATTGGCTAGTATGATTGGTGAAGTGAAATTTTTAAAATTTTGTTTAATTCTATTGATTTTATTTAAACAGCTACATGTGGCTAAAGGGTACTGTAGGAGTCCCGGGGTGGCACAGAAGTTTAAATTCTCAACTACTAGACAAATGTTTGAGGGTTCAGTCCCAACCAGAGGAGCCTCAGAAGTCAGAATCTGCTCCTGAAAGGTCACAGTCTTGAAGGCCCTAAGGAGCAGTTCTACTCTGCACACCTGGGGTTGCCATGAATTGCAATCAACTCTTTGGCAACTAACAACAGAGGAACTATGTTGGACAGCACAGCTGCAAGTTATCATTTCTTCAAATGAGGTATGATTTCTTCTTCTTCATTCCTTCTTGTTTTTACTATAAAGGGACTAGGTTTGACAAGCTTCAAGGAGCCAGGTGATGGAAATCTTGTGGTTTAGGGAAAGGGAAAAGTATGGAGTGAAGAGAAGACTGGGAAAGGAGAGGAGAGGTTGGCTTCTTAGCTTATGGCCATGCTAATTCTGAA